CCCGCACGTGTTGGGGGGCGGGCGGAGGACCCCCAGCTCTGAAGGCGGAAGGTGGGATCTCGGAGCCGGGGGCCCCCCGGCCTGCGCTCCGAGCCCCGCCCCCTCGCTTTTCCCTTCTCTCCTGCTGTTCCCCTCCACCTCCGAGCTGGGGCGGGCGTTCTGGAGAGGGAGGGAGGGGGCTTCACGCTTGAGAAAGAGCGTGGTTTACTCTCCTGCTCGCTTGGCCTCCTGAGCTCATTCACTATCTCTGCGTTCATCTCCGTCATTCTGGGTCCTTCTATTTCTGTCCATTCTCGGCCCTGCCCTTCCAGCTGAATCACCTTCGGGCAAGTCGTTTGACTCCCTAACCTCAGTTATCTCATCTGTAAAATGGGCTAATAACACCTGGTACCCTGGGAAATCAGGCGGGCTGACCGAGGTCACGTGTGTGGAAGAGGTGCAGGCTGTAGATACAAATTATTCTTTCTTTCTTCCGAGCCTTTGAACCTCGGTATTTTTTACTGTTTGCATTTTCCTCCCCAGTTCTCCCTGTCTCTCTGCTTTCTCCATCTGTTTGCCTTTCTGATTTTCTACTTGAGACAATCTGTGACTCTGTTCATTTGTTCACTCACCAACATTTGTTACGCGGGACGTGTGCTAGGATGCTGGATATAGAGAGAGAAGACCTCAGCTCTGGCCTCTGGGAGCCCGGAGACCCCCCGGGGAGGGCAGGCATCAAGACAGGTCATTACAATGCTGGCACCACGTGGTAACAGCTATTGTCCTCCCAGTTCCGAAGCCCTCTCTCTGTTCCAGACCAGTGCCTCTGAATCACTTGGAGAACTTGTTAGAAATTCAGGTTCCTAGCCCCCAACCCTGAGGTTTCTGGCCTGTTCATTCAATCTGCAAATATTTATTAAGTGTTTGGGCAGGACACTTTTCCAGGCACTGGGGATGCTGCAGAAATCATACCAAGGCCCAGCTTGTGTTTGAGTGGGTCTGAGCTGAGCCCAGGAATCTGCATTTCTGATCAGAACTCCAAATGCAGGTGGTCCTTAGACCACCCATTGAGGGATAGTTAGAGGCCTTTCATCCGTCACGCTAGACTGTGTGGATGGTCAGGAAGGGGGAAAGTAGTTCACAGTGTATAATGCTGTGGGGGCAGCCTGTCCCAGCCCTTCCCGCCTGTCCTGGCTCCCACAGGCAGCTCCCAAGAGGTAGGGAAGGGAGTCCTGAGTAGGCCAAAGATGAGTTGATACCTGGAGGGGCCTCCCCCATCCACAGCCTATTCCTTCCTTCCTTCCTTCCTTCCTTCTTTCCTTCCTTCCTTCTTTCCTTTCACTGTGACATTCTTCTCAGTATTGCATTGAGATCCGGAAAGCTGTCTTCCTCTCTCTGCCTCTGCTGATGAGGATACGGTTCCTGGCGTCCATGTCTGCGGCCGTGACTGCGCTGCGGGCCCAGATTTGTACCCCTCGTCTCTGTGCCCCAGCTTCTTAGCACCTGACATGTACCAAGTGCAGAGTGCTCTGCCAGGCCCTCTGTTGGGCACTGGGGCCGGAGAGCTGGCGGCAGCTCCAGCCTGAAAATGTAGGGTCTGGAGAGTGACCGTCTCAGGCTTGAGCACGTGGTTATGGGCACTGCCGTCCCTTCACCTCTCAATACCTGCAAACTGGTTCCCGCCCCCGCCCCCGCCCCCCCACTCCTTGACTCTGTCTCTCAAGAGTTGTCAGGTTGGGAAACTCGGGCCTTGCTGAGCTGCTCCCTCTCCAGTGGGTAGGGGAGAGGCCGGAAGGGACCACCAGGACCCTCACGCCCCTGGGGAGCTGCAACGCGCCCCTTCAGCCCGCCCCTGCCTGATGCCTGCAGGCTGCTTGGAGGAGACGCCGTGGTGAAGCTGGAGCTCAACGATTACCTAGACATCTTCTGCCCGCACTATGAGGGGCCAGGGCCCCCTGACGGCCCCGAGACGTTCGCTTTGTACATGGTGGAGCGGCCAGGCTATGAGGCCTGCCAGGCCCAGGGGCCAGGAGCCTTCAAGCGCTGGGAGTGCGCCCTCCCCTTCGCTCCCTTTGGCCCGGTTCGATTCTCTGAGAAGATTCAGCGCTTCACACCCTTCTCCCTTGGCTTTGAGTTCTTGCCTGGAGAGACCTACTACTACATCTGTGAGTGAGGAGGGGCACGCTGGCTGTCCCGGGCGGGCGGCAGGGGGGCATCCTGCCATCGTCACAGGTGGGCAGAGGGCCTGAGGTGGGGCCTGGGAATGAAGAGGGGGGACCTGAGTCTAAACTGAGTAGGGGGACATCTAGGGGAGTCTATAGAGAGGAGGAGAAAGCAAGAGGAGCTAGGAAAGGGGCCGTGGTGGAAGGCACGGCCGGGGCCTGGCACCAGGGTGTGGACCAAAAGTGAGGGGAAGCTCTCCAGGGAACTGCAGGGAAGACAAACGGGAAGGGTCTGCAGGAGTCTGAGGCGTGCAAGCTAGCCTGTGCTAACTTCTTCCTCCCAATTTCCCACCACCCAGCGGTACCAACTCCCGAGAGTTCTGGCAAGTGCTTGAGGCTCCAGGTGTCTGTCTGCTGCAAGGAGAGCAGTAAGTGGGTCGGGGTGCGGGGAGCCACCCTTCTGGTGGGTGTGGGGTCGTTGGAGTGAGGGAAGCGGTGGGGAGAGTCTGGGAGCATCAGACCCTGAGGGGTCCAGGTGGAGCTTTTAGCTGTGGCCTCTGATCCCCCATTTCTCTCTGTGGGAGCTTCCACTCTGCCCCTTTATGCTGGGCCAAGGAGATGGCATTTCCAGGGCAGTATCCTTCGAGGCCTCAGCCGTGGTGGGCTGGGAGTGAAGAGGCCAGGGGCAGGGCAGGAAGGAGGCTGCTGAAGGGGAGGGTCCCTCAGTGCTGCCCTCCCTCACAGAGTCGGAGTCAGCCCATCCTGTTGGAAGCCCAGGAGAGAGCGGCACATCAGGGTGGCGAGGGGGAGGTGCTCTCAGCCCCCTCTGTCTCTTGCTGCTGTTTCTGCTGCCAATTCTGCGCCTCCTGCGAGTTCTCTGAGCCAAGCAGACCCCTCCTGCTACGCCCAGGAGCCAGAGCCCTCCCGAGACTCCCTGGAGGAGGGGCCCCTGCCTCTCGAGCTGGGAGCAGTCAAGCCAGCCAGACCAACGGAAGAGTGACGGGGAGGTCAGAGGGTCTGAGGTGACCCTTCCAGGGGCTGGCCCCTCATCACAGGCCGAAGGGGAGCTGCATACAGCCCTGGGCACCCTGGAGCCCAGGCAAGGCAAATGTAGGGTCTCCGTCAGCTGCTTTGACGTTCTCATCCTGTCCCCCCCAGAAAGACTGGGATTTGGTGGGATTGAATCCTTGAGTCTGTTGGGGCCAAGACCGAAGACCTGGGGACAGGTGGATTGCCAGACCAGGGCAAGGGAGAAGGCCTGCCATCTGTGCCCAGTACCCTGTGGGCCTCTTCCCTGGGGCGGCATCTTCCCCTCCCCAGGGGGTCACTCACTTGTCTTCTATGAAGACGGACTTGCTATGAGGTTGAATATCATGCCAGTTTGTATTTTTATAAGTGTCCGGACCAAACCGTCAATAAACCACCCAACTTGCGGTTGCTCTCCCCCATCTACCACCCTCTGGCTCCTTCCCTGACCCCGGGACGCCCCGCAGCCTCTGCTCTCAGCTTCGCTTGGCCTGACCTCCATGTCAGCTCCGCCCAGGCCATCCCTTCCGGGCGGCCGTGCGCACCCCTCTGGGCGGTGTGCGGTGGGAGCCAGCGGCACCCTCTCCCACCTCCCTAGCAGGCTTCCTGAGCTGAGGAGGGGGCAGATGCTCCGGACAGCCCACCCACTTGGGGCGGTGCCCAAGCCCCAAGCAGGGCGTTGGGGCAAACGCCAGGGCCGCTAGAGAGTTTCAGAATGCCTGGGTCCCTGCGAGCCGGGCATCCTTCCCCCTCCCCAAGGGCAGTCTGGGCGGTGCCTGGTCTAGAACTGGGAAGGTGGGGTCAGATCAAAGCCTCCTTCCCCAGCGGCTTCTTTGTTCTTCGCTTTTATAAGGAGGAGGGGGTGGGGCCGAGGAGGGAGCGCCCCCTTTGCTCTCAGCCCCACACTGCCTCTCCCACCTCTGGCAGGCGAGGCTGTGATCCACCCCCCCCAAGCCCCACCAGAGCCCTCTTTCTGAACGGTGTCCTCGGTGGAGCCAGGGTGAGGGGTGCCCCTCCCCCCGCCGCCGTGCCCCGCAGCTCCCGCTGGCACCGTGCCGGCCCGCCTGGCACCGAGCCAGCGATCGATAGGTGGACGTTGTGCTGATTAGCTCGGCCCGGCTGCGGCAGCGAGAGGCGGCGTGTGAAGCCGCGGGGGGCGCGAGACTGACAGACGCCGGAACCCGGGAACTCGCGGGCCCCTCCCCCACCCCTTCGCACCCCGTCAGACCCCGCTCGCTCTCGTTCGTTCCACTGCTCTGCCCGAGGGGCGGAGAGCGGCACCGCGGGCGGAGCCGACGCGAGTCGACCCCTTCCCCCATTCGAGGCCGGGGTCAGAAAACGCCGCGTCTGTAGGTGCGCGTGTCCGCGCGTCCGCGCCCTCGGCCCCCACCGCGCTCTTCAGCGGACGCCGAGGGCCCGGGGCGCCCAGCGGGCGGCGTCTGAGCTCGAGCGTGAGCTGCGGCCCGGCCTTCTGGTCCCGGGTTCGAGTGGCGTCTCCCCTGTCATCCAGGAGGGGGTCCTGTGTCGCCGTGGAAACCGAGGGCACTGCTGCCTCGTGCACTCCCCCCCCCCGCAGAAGCTGTCGGCGAGGTGCGCGGGGCGACTGGTGACTAGGCCCTGCCCTCCACTGACGACGGTGGGGGTCTCCCCCCGACGCCCCACGCCCGCCTCGCCC